CACCCCCCCCCCCCCCCCTATATCGAGCTATGAAACGCTCATATGGCTTAACTAACTCACACTTAATATGCAACTGGTCAAACTGAGCCGTGAACTCCTCCGTTGCTTTATCTTTCTGCTACAGGTGGTAGAGTCTTAGAAATATATTATGGCGGTAGTGAGGTGGTAGGTATTTTCGCAGCATTTCTTTCCTAATTATTTTCCCACTTAATAATCTTATCACCGTCTTCTCTCTTTCTCTGTCTCTACAAGTTTTCTCACCACAAGAAGGCGCCCTTCTTCAACTTTACGGCTGCTAGTTTTACTCGTTTATCCTCAGACACTTCCTTATGCTCAAAAATTCGCTTAACAAATACAATCAGTCCATAAATTCATCTGATCCATACCTGCCTTGAACTTCGGTAGATCCACCTTGATGCCAAAATCCATGTGTAATCCATATGTGGTCTCCTCTCTCGGCCTCCTCTGATACTAAATTTTGAAACGTTGGGGCCTGTATTCCTCATCACTGAAGTCATCCTTATGAAAGAGATTCATATCCTCTTCCATTCCTCCCTTTAGACTATCCATATCACAATCGAAGCTCTCGTTGTATCTCTTCCTAGGTAGGCTCGGGCCTATATCTCTATGGTGGCATGGTTATAGTTTGGAATATGTGGAGTGGAAAGGGTCTTTAGCAGTAGAAAAAAAGAAAAAAATTTAGTGGACATGATTTGGGATATGGTGGATGCTAGGAAACCTTAGGATTGAACCAGAGTTATGCTAGCTCTGACGTCAAATAATACCGGAGTTAACCCAGAAAGCAATAAGAAGTTTGATTTTTACTATGGAAAAGTACTGGAATTACAATCACGACCTCAAAACAAAAAAAAGCATAACCCAAACACAAATATCCAGCTAGGGTGAGCACGGAAGCAGGTGGAATGACAGCGAGGTGGCTTGGAGTAGTGGGCAGCAAGCAGAAGTGGTGTAGGAGGGTGTCGGAATGAGCAGGTAGGGAGGGATCAAATGAGAGGGAAGCAATGGCTGGAAGAGGAACAGATGAAGAAGCAGCGTAAGATGGGGATCGGTAGAAGGGAGAAAGGCTGAGAGCCAGCAATGTTTAGGAGTTTGCGGCTGAAGGGCAAAAGGCAAAAAGAAGGTTGCAGTGGTAAAGGCTGCAACTGCACGTGGGGGCACAGGGTAAGCCGGTAAAGTGCAGAAGCGTTAGGCGACAGCAAAGGAGTGTCAGGGGGGTTGCATTTGCAAGCAGGGAAGGCGTGGGGGAGTTAGGCGGCAGCAAGGGAGAGGGGATCTGCAGTGATAACATGGAAGAAAAGTGGTATGTCAGCAGGGAAACTCGATGGATGGAAGTGCAGGGAAAATGTCAGCAAGTAGGAGAGGAAAGATGCACACCATCTCTTGAAGGGTTATAGCTGGAGTGTCTTCTCGCCACAAGATATAACCCTAGAAAGAAAAAGGAAGGACGTCGGAGGAGGTCCAAACAAAAATATAAAAAAAAAACAATGAGCTCTAATGATAATAAAATAATATATATATAATAAATAACTAGAAGAAACAGGCGGCAGCAACTCCCAACCCTAATTAAAGC